CTTTATTTCAACCCTGGTGAATCTGACGATTATGTGCCTTGGGGTTGCTCTTCTTGAGGAATAAAGTTTGGCTTTTAATCATTAGGCAATGCTCTCCTGAATTTCTATACAGAATCTCTCTACAAAGGGGAGGCAATTCAATCCAATTGTATTGTGGAGAAAATGACATTATTTGTCTTGAAAGTGCATTTGTTTAGGAAGTGTTTGTTCATATAGTGATGTTAGAGATTAATGAAAGTATCCCACCTATGACAGGTTTTTATTTACATAAGATAGAAGAATCTCATACTGTATATTCAAACCAAAAGTTGATGGAAATGAAAAGGAGTTCCTTGGAAAAACCATGACTTGAAAAAGCCATTGGTAGATGCATGTATAGAGATTCCCTCACCTCCCCAGGATCACTTTATCAGCTACTCACCGAGTCCCATCTCCCAAACCTATCTTGGATACTAGCTGAGGATCTCACCATAAAAATAAACGGTCAGCAGGCTGAGGCAGGAGGACTGGTGGAGGTCAGGAAGTCGAGACCAGCCTAGATAACATAGCTAGACCCCATCTCTACAAAAAATTTTTTGAAAAGTTATCAGGGCATGGTGGCATCTGTCTGTAGTCCCAGCTGCTCGGGAGGCTGCAGGAGAGAACAAGACCCCCATCTCAAGTAAGTAAATAAATATAAAACGTGCATTAATAAATTAATTCAAGGTTGCCAGTAAATGGCTCTTGGATGTACCACAATGTTAAAGTTGGAAAGGACCTCAGAGATCATTACATTCATGTCCTACTGAACTACTAAGGACCAGGGGGTTAGGTGCCTTTTAAAGGGTTAGATCTAGGGAAGAGTGATGTTGGAAAAAGGCAGATGTCCCAGACCTCTTCTTACTCCACCCCCACCAAAGTTGACTTAATAATATTCTATGTAGTTTAATATTTTATGTAGTTAAATGTTTTATAGTTACACATATTATTTCTATGGGTTTAAGTTTCCAGTAGCACATAGATTTTTTTCTTTTAAATCTAGTTCCTGAGTTTAGTCAGCTTATTTCTGAGTTTTCCAGTTCTGAAATAATATGTTGTTCTTTCACATTTTCTACTCTAAAAGAAAAATTAACTTTGATCTGCTTTAGGGGCATTTCTTTCTTACGTGTGTTCATTCTTCTGTAGAAATGTATTCTTTCAATTACAGTATTTTCTTATTTGTGTATATTTAGCCCACATATCGTTTGGTTCCTCGTTTTCAGGTGAGCTTAGCTTCTCTGAACATCCAGAAGAAAATGTAGTTAATGGTAATTTTTCTAATGTTATAGAATTCCCACTAGTGTTGCTTTTTAAAACCATAATGGTTTGCTTTCTGAAAATGTTGGCTGCTTCCTCCTCACCTTCAATGTGGACCTTCTATTTCCTTTGTCTCTCCATTGCCCCTATTTTGCTCACCTTTTATTCCATTCCCACCATCTTTTCTTCTTTATGAGGTCCTGACCTGGAAAACATCAATGGTGGCTCAGTTCTGAGAAGTCATGGGTACTAAGCCCTTCAGATTTACCCAGGGCTCCTTTCCCTCACATGTTATTCCACTGGACAAAGTCCCTTTTAGTTTCAGGTGCTGATCTCAGACTTGCCCACGTGCTTTCCTGTAAATCCCTGCTAGGGAGTTTCTGCTTTCTCAGGTTCATCTGTTTTCTTCACACACATATCAATGTCTGTTTCCATCCATTCATCACTTTGTCCTTTTGTAAATGTTGTTCATTTATGATAATGAATCCCAAAAACTACCGGCTTTTTATTTTTTGAAGCATTATATTTAAGAAGTGTCCTATTTTTATTTAACTTCCATTTTTATTGCTTAAAAAGAAATGCTGTTGAATTTCATATACCAATTTTTTATTGCTGCATTTAGTCTATTAATACAGCTACATGCCATAATGTACATTTAATATTGTATTATTCTCACATTTCTTAAAATTGAACATTACTTGGAATTATTCTATTTCTTTGTTACTGCAATATTAATTAAAAATGCATTATTGGGATATTTTGTCTCTGTTACTATACAATCAATAGTCGTTTCAAACGTTTAAATAATTTATTGAAATACAATTTACTCAGAGTATAACGAACAAATCTCATGTTTAAGAGTAGGTATATCACTTTAAAAATCACCAGTTTTCCAAAGTGGTACTATTGCACATTCCCACTAGCAACATATGAAAGAAAGTTCTGGCTGCTCGACATTCCATGCTATTTTTGATAGAGGGTGACATCAAGATTACTAAATCCTATGATTTCAGAAGACTTCCATGTTTTTTTTCTATGTGCCAAAATGTTTCAAATATCAAAGGAAGCATGTGTTCCATCAAAGGCAACCAACTTCCCCATGATGTCTATCAGTCAGAATCACCAATGCTTATTTGGTTCCTCTAACTGATTAGTTGGGTGGATTCTCTTCTTCCTTCAATGTTCCCTCCAAGTACATAACTTCAGAACATGATTATCATTTCTTCCTGGTGAACGCTATGTAAGTGCCTGCATTCCTTTAATAAAACACCCCACAAGCTCTTATTGGGGTGTATCAATGAAGAGGTCAAAGACGTTGTTAGAACATTGTATATGTAATTTTAAGAGTGAAAAGCCAGAAAGTAAAACTAGAAGTTTAGACAATTCTTAGAAACGCTTGCATGTGAAAAGAAACATCAGCCAGAAAATATATGGTTTTGAAATGCTGAGGGAAATAGCCTCCAAAGAGGGAGAATCAGAAAGAGAAGGAAACATGAATTTTTCTCTTTCCCATCTTACCCACCAAAATATAAGCCTAATGAAGGTAGGAATGTCTGCCTACTTTGATTACTGCTGCTTCCAGGACTAGGACAGAGCCTAGAATTCAAGAGGCACTCATATTTGTGAATCATTAAATAACAGAAGGCAAGGTGGGGACTTGATCAATAAATACTGGGGAATAAGGTAACTTTTGGAGCTGATGGATAAGTTTAGGGCCTGAATGTGGTGGTCTCACAGGTGTATACTTAACTCCAAACTCATCGAGTTGTATATATTTCTCAAATATGTACTGCTTTTTGTGTGTTTATCATTCCTTAAGTGGTCTAATAAATAAACAAATAAAAATAAAAATAAAAAGCATTACACTAGAGGCTAAAATATCTTGCTTACAATTCTTCATGCAGTTATCTGAGCACAAGATATAGTCCATATTCTGCAGTGGCATTTCAGTCCTTTCAAAATCTACCCTACACTATCTTAATCTATCTTTCTCCCTTACCCCTAAATCTCAATGCTTTAAAAATATTTCCACACTTTTATAACCCTATGATTTATAATCTCTCCTCTGCAAGGAAAAACTTTCCATACCACTATGCCTGGTGAAATTCTCCTTTTTCCCCCAGTTACTCACTTATTAACCCAGGTGTGGGTAAGAATAGCAAGTAAAACTAGAGAGTTCTTAGTATGTGCTGGGGGCTATGGCTCTGTCCTCAAACATTTTGATTAGACAGGTGTCATTTGCGTTTGACAGTTTAGAAACTAAAGTTCAAAGAGGTTGTGATTGCTCAAAATGACAGATATTGGTAGCTGAACTGTAATTGAGCTTGGAATGACTTGATTCTAATGCTTGGGCTCTTTCCCCTCCAAGACAATCCATCATTCCTTTAACTAGGAATACACTGACCTTTTGTATTCTAATTATCTTATCTGTCAAAACACTGTGAGTTCTTTGAGGGCAGGAATTACTTTATTCTTCTCTTTACTCAAAAGGCTACTAATGAAGAGTAAGAACTTGTACTACTCAATGAAAGTGAATTGTTGTTTTTAAGATAGATCTAGGGCTGGAAGAATTCCATGTTAGATAGTTTAAACACAATCTCTTTTCCCAGAAGTGAGCATTCCAAGGGGCCAAAGCCGCCCTGTTCACGTAGACCCCAGGTCAAGCGCATGAGTATGAAGTAGCTACTCTAGCCACCTTTCAAAAAAGTTGACATCAGCCTGAAATGAATGAACTCCTTGAGGACACTTCTAAGTCATCAGAGATAAGGAATAGGGTGGAGCAGTTCTTAGTAAATCTGCTGTCCTGCTTTCTGGCAAGAAACCATAGCCTTGGAGAATAAACGCCAAGGGTGTTTTTCAGTTGGCTTCAGAATATTTATCCTATCAGTAGTTGACCCAGTGTCTTTACTCATGCACTTTATTCTAGTGGCACCTGTAATCCCAGCTACTCAGGAGGCTGAGGCAGGAGAAGAGCTTGAACCTAGGAGGTGGAGGTTGCAGTGAGCTGACTTGGCACCATGGCACTCCAGCCTGGGTGACAGAGTGAGACCCTTTCTAACAAAAAAAAACAAAAAAAAAAAAAAGAAGGAAAAAAAAGGTAGGGGTGGCATGGTGAAATTGTCTAAAATTTGAATAATGGGCTACATTACAGGGCATTCAATGAAATACTGCACAACAATTTAAAATGATGGAGGAATATTTTAGTGAATTGTAAAAATTTTCAAAATTCATCGAGAAAAGCTGATTAAATGAAGCATATAGTTTGCTTTATACATGTTACACTAAATATTTATCTTGTGCTCTAAATATTTATTGTGTACTTTCTTTACCATTGATAACCTAAAATACATGTTGTTATCTTTAGTAGTAACAGTACAGACTTTTCTCCCACTGTACTTATTTGTATTTGTTAATTTTTCTCAATATACATAAAAAAGTTTGCCAGATATAGGTGATGGGTGGATGGACGCAGCAAACCCCATGGGCATTTATGTACCTATGCAACAATCCTGCATGTTCTTCACATGTGCCCTCAAACCTAAAACACAATAAAACATATATTTAAAAAAAAACAAAGTGTAAAATTTTTAATAACACTCATTGGTAATGTGACATACAAAGGATCATAAAGAGGAAACAGATTGAGACCAGCCAAAAATTTTACTGACACCAAAAAATCTGATACAACTATTATGAATCATTTAAAAAAGAACAGAAGACAAAAATTATTTTAATAGTATATTAAATATTTTATTTAAATTAAGAAGTATAACAAAATCACATACATTTGTCTCATAGTCTGGATAAAATTTCCTTACTTTCAAATAATACACATATAGTATCTCACAGATCAAATTCCATACATTTCAATATGGTCACGAGATAGACTGTATTCCAAAATTTGGTATATAAATCCATACATAATATATACCATATATACTGACTTTAAATAATCTATAATGACACCTATTAAATAGATAAAATCTAGAAAAATCACTTTTTGTGAATACTATTTATGCTGGAATACAAATTCACATAAAAATACTTCCTTTAAGACATGTTCTATTTCACACAATTAAATTAAATGTGAGCTACTTTTAAAACTGCAAGCTTTATTTTTAATCAAACCAATTCAATTTTAAATTTTTAGATCATTACGTCTCATACAACTTCCTCTTATTTAGCTAAAAACATCATTGACAAAGTTTTATTATCACATTTGGTCTTAACCTTAAAAAACAAATTTGCTTACAGTATTTCACATGTAAAAGGGATATTTTAAACTCTAAGTAAAAAGACATATTTTTACATGTCCAATTGTAACAATTTTACCCTATTTTCTTGCAATGCTTTTATCAGATAAAAACTATTACTAAAGTTTTGATTTTTTAGAATATACTGTTTAGGTCTTATCATAACTTTAAAAGTTTTGAAATCTATTTTATCAGTATCTAAATAAAAATTCGAGATATCGACATGGATATTATAAAAAACACCTCTTCTTTGGACTGTTTAATTATTTCACCTTAATCATAAAAAAATCATTGAGTCACTTATTTTTCTTTCTTGGCTTTGGGCCATTGTCTTTTCATCTTAAAAGTTAAAATTATTGTTTTCCTATGTCTAACAATACTTTTTAGACATAGATTTTTAAGATACAAAAATAAAATGTAGTTCAGTAGTTCATCATTACCACCTGCTGCAATGAGTCTGCCAGATCAGAGGCTTTCACTAGGAAAGCTAGCTTTAAATCAAATATTGGCTTTCTTCTTGTAATTTGCACTTGTCTATTGAATCAGTTACCCAACTGTCTTTTAGGATTTTAAACTTTCTCTTAAAAGTTCTTCTAAAAGCTTTAAAATCTGCAACACGACTATGATCTTCACCAATGATTACATGAGACACTCCCTCAGCTAAATAAGAAACTACTGTTCCTCCATGAAATCGAAGCTCCAAGGCTTTAATAGCTAATCTTGTCCCCTCAGTTTTGGTACTCAGGTCATTAATAACAGCATACAAGTCCAAATAAATGGTGTGGCGTCGAAACATACTGAGAGGAGAGCAATCCCAGGAATACCGATGTTCTAAATCAGCAATCACAGAAGTAATTTCTTCAGGAGTCTGCTCGTTAGAATTTTTAATTCCTGAGAATACTTCTTTCAGTTGGTTCAAGTCTGTATCAACAAAATAACTATCACCATAGCAATCATATTCACGGGCGAAATGTTCTTTGGTTGATGGGCACATATGAATCATAAAGCAAGGCTGCCATGGCACAAAGCTTTTGGTCTTAAAACATTCTAAAAGCCATGCAGGCTTGACAACATCATGTTTATTTGACAAAATTATGTTTTTCACTCTGATGTTCTCAGACCCTGCAATTACACAGTATGTGTCTGGGCCTGGGTTTTGTACTATATAACCACCAAATTCTGCAATTCTGTTCTCCAGGTCAGGTTTTGGCTGGCTATCTGTTCCACTCATAACACAAAACTCCACATCTTCGAATATATTAGAAATTTTGTTTACATTAGTAAGGTTAGGTGCTTTTAAGTGCTCAATAATTCCAATAACTTTTTTCATCTTTGGGGGAGCTTTTCGCTTTTTTTCTGGTGGTTCATCATCATCACCTAAATAAAGGTGTTTAGATGCAAGCTTTCCAGATGCTTTTCCCCTAAGTTGTTCTAGGTCATCCAGTGTCATGCACTCATGCCACTCTTTGTCATCTCTTATCTTCTCAATTCGTGGAAAACGCAAGGTACAGCCAGTTTTATACATATCACTGGGTACTATCTCTGCTGCCTTAATCTGAACAATGACAGAATTACAAGGTTCAATATACACTTCTGGCCTCTCTGTTCCACATAAAATGCTACTTGGTGGAGTTCTTTTATGAAAAGGCCTCCAGTATTTGGCCAATTTCAAACCCAGATCATACAGTTCTTTCATGGTACAACCAGAGCCAACACGAGAGAGAGTATGAAACACAGATGGCTTTTTACCAGGAGGGGGCTTCTCTGCTACTGCACACAAAAAATGAGACATCATTCCACCCCGTGATCCTTTACCCCAATATCCTCCAACAATTAAAATGTCCAATTCATCCATTAGTCCATTAACATATTCTGGTTTAATTTTTAACCACCCTTCACCTCTTTTGTCTGGCTTATAGATGGACAGAGGATGTTTTATCATGATTCCTTCTTCTCTTTTATCTATTGCTTCATTCAATGCATCAATTACTTCATCCTTAGTATGAGCTTGTGTTTTCTGCACTATTTCTATTCTACCTGGAATTGGTGTAAAAATACTATTAAGAATTTCAAACCTCTTTCTCAGAGTCTCATGCCCTAGCTTTTTATTATTAACCATCAATACATCAAAAACACAATAACAAGTCTGCAGATCAGAATCTTCTACCATTCTTTTAATATCAAACTTAATTCCCTTTTGCATGAAAGTTTGTGTATTAGGATTATAGGCCATCATCTCACCATCAAGAATACAGATTTGTATATCTGTTTGGAATGCATTATGAATGAATGGGGTAAGAGAACCTTCAGCAGGAGAAGCACCAAACTGATCAGTATAGTTATATCCATTTCGGGAGAAGTATTTATATACATCCCCATCTTTGTGCATTTGCATACGTTCACCATCTAGCTTGGTTTCTATGTAGAAAGTCTGATGTTTCATATCCTTCTCAATGTGCTCAATATTTGCAATAGCAGCTAGCATTGGCTTAAAGGCAGAAAATAAAGTGATAGAAATATCACTGAGTCCTACAGAAGGATCATGCAGTTGCCTACAGACTTTTTCCAGATCTGTAGTGACATTATGCAACTCAGCAGCATCATTATGAAAAACAGAAAAGATAGTTTGCTGACTAACACCAAGCTTTAAATCCTTTATGATCATCCGAATAAGCCACTTTTGCTCAAGTGCAGAACTCTGAGTTATAAGTTGAAGAACACTCTTTTTTACTAGGTCTTTTCTTTTAGCAGAATTATTGCTGGCAATTGAGTCTAAAAGGTCATTTACTTGCTGTATGGTTAAACTTCCTTTCTGTAAACATCTTGGCTTCAACACAAAATATGCAATCATTGCAAAGTCTCCAGCATCTCCATGAGTTCCAGTGGGCGTTCTGTAGTTTAAAAGTTTGAGGGCATCTTTTCCATCTCTAGGTAAATTAAGCAATTCAATATAAAGCTTAGCAAGCATAGTTTCTTTAATGCCATAGGCCATTCTCTCTCTTTCTAGCTGAGGAAGAATTAGCCTCATTGCTGGATAAAAAGAGTCTGTGACATCTTTTTGGTTCTTATGAAGAGCATCATGAAATTTTCTCCAAGAATCTAAAAATTCCCTAAAGTGTCTGATTTTTTCTGCACGTCCTTTAGTTTTCTGTATTCGTTCTAAAGTTGAACACAAATCTGCAAAAGGAACGTGAGATGCAACAGTTTGTGAAGTTTGTGAGGCAGCCATCAAAGTGGTGATGAATCTTCCAGTTTAACTAGTAAAGCAAAAAGAGAATAACTTTAAGATTCAACTAAATATTTAATGTAAAGACCTTACAAAGATCACTCAGATCATAATAAATGTTTATTAATGTTTGCTAAATAAAATAGATCAATGCTATAAACAATGTATGTTTTCAATCTCTACATTTAATAACAACTATTTTGCTTCAACTCTAATTCAGTTATGAAAAGTATCATCAGCTATATTTCCTATATTTGTAATACAGAAATTATTTTAATTATTTTTCTCCTTAAATTCCAACTTTCATTGACTTATTCTATATATCAATTACTTAGCACATAATACAAACAAATATTGCAAATAATGGCGACAGAAAAAATAATCAGGCTTAATTCACTTCACTTCTGAGCTTCTAATGCAAGGCCTTTCACTGTATGTCTCTTCTTTCCCTGACAGACTATTACACAGCACCAGAAACCAACTTCTTCAAATAGATGTTTTTAACAAAACACTCATTTCCTGAATTGAAATTTGACTTCCTAGAAATCCTAATCATAGGCAGGGCCCTTGACCAAAAACACAAAACAAAGCAAAAAACAGGTATCCTCTTCTTCCAGCCAAAGAAAACCTATGTCTGTTTTTTTTCCCTCACTTCTTCACTGTTAGCTATGCCAAATCACACCAATATTCAATCTCAACTTAAAATGCCCAAATCAAAATCCTCACTTTATATATTTTACCATAGTTACTTATTGTCTTATAAGTATAAATGTATTAATACCATTTTTTTCGTATTTCCATGCCAGTTATTCCCTAAGTATTTAATTACTACATATGAGATGTGCTACATACACTGTGCTAGGGGAAAATACAGTATGCTTCTGCTTTAAAAGAACATAAATTCTGTTAAACAAAATTTAAAAAGGGGGTATAATGGAAACAGTATAATAAAATACTAAGTGCTTTAACAAAATAAAACAATTGTAAAATGTCCTGAGGACAGAGCTTTTCCCTAAAGTATCTGCTAAAGTCAGAGAGGAAAGAATGAGTATCTTGCTGAGCTAGGGCAAGAGTACTTCCTAAAATTTCACAAGTGTGAAATTTCTTTAGTTTTAAATAGTCATACAAGGTCTATTGGAAGATAAATATATTAGAGTAATTTTAGCATAAACTATGTAACATTAACATAACTTTTCCAAAAAAAGGTTTCAAGTAAAATGTATGCTTCATGAATAGAAACTATGTTTTATCCTGTGGCTGCAGATACCTCCTGGCACACCACGATGTATAACCAGACAGTGGAGTCAGAGTTTCGCTGGGAGTGGGGAGATCTATTATAGTGCAGAGAACACGTAACTCCCAATTTTCCAATTCTCCATCACAGCAAACAAATGAGAAACACACACATGCACAAGGCTACATTATCTAGTATCCAGCAAAATAAACCAAATGGCTAATTACAATACTACATTAACTAAATTGTCAGTCTCTAGAGACCAGAAATTGTGCTATAATTTGTGCTACTAGTGGCAGACATGCAGGAGGTTTGCTGAATGAATTACTGACACACCTAGATTTGACTCCTGGAAAAGCACACCAGGGAAAGCCATGGGCTGGTTACAAACCACATACATACACATGCATGCACATGCACAGTGGGTGAGACACAGTTTGGTTAAAAAATATTCAGCAGCTCTGACTGTCCTGGCAATGGTTCGCAACAGCCATTTGGTGGCCTTATAAAGAAAAAAGCTGCACTTGACAGTCTAATTTCCGACAAAGGAAACCAAACTTCTATTGAGTGGGTTAGATCAAAGGATAAACCCATGAGAGAGCACTTCCCTGAAACTTTTATCTTTGAATATACTGTTGTTTCCTCTCCCTGAATCTGGTTTGCATAACTGACTGCACCACCTGGTTATGTATGTTCACTGCCCTAGCTCTGAAAACATGCTCCCTCAAGGGGGTACATCACGGTACACAATGCTGTATCTACAATTTCTATATAAACTATGTAAAATGAAGTAGTAATATTTCTTTAATGTTCAAGTATTGGTACATAGTTTCTACAGATATATTTATAGATTCTATATGGTCTCAAAGTTAAAGTTTCCCTCAACAAATCCCAGGCAAAGACTTAAATTACTTTGTAATTACAAAATGTAGGTAATGTTGTGCATCTTATGTATTCTAAAAATGGCTATACAGAAAACAAGGATTCCAAAATTGCTATAAACTAGGCATAAGTACTTTTGCTCATTACAATGGCATAAAAAGTCAAAGATTAGGACTTCCATTCCTTTTTACATGCTAATTTTATTTTTTGGATTCCGAGAATTTTAGCTGATTCATTCCATTTGCAGTAAGACAAATGAGGAGATTCTTAGGGCTCAGGTTCTGGACTCTAATAAATCTGAATTCAAATGTGGATGCTAACATTTAATAGCTGGGTGATACTGAGCAATTAATTTCTCTAAGCTTCAGTTTTCTTAAGTGTAAAATGAGGTTAAAATTGTGTAGAAATTAGAATGAAAATAAAATCAGATAATCTAAAACTGTGCTTTAAAAAGTAATAAGTTTTGGTAATTTTAATACTGTAATGCTTGGTGATCCAAGCAACATTTAAAACATAAATATTGCAAAATACTAAGGAGATAAAAAGGTGGGAAGAATCTTCACTCTTTAACAATAAGCAAAGCTTTCAGGAGAATGAATGCAAGTTACTAGTACACAATAACGATTTATCATTCATTCAGTTGCTGAATAAATTGTCCTGAAGCGACATAGGAAGACAAACCAGCAGGTTTTATTCAGTGACCATGGAAAGTGATTAAGTGTTATTTTATTGCACTTGGGGAAAAAAACAGAAAGTGACTAATGCAACTGAAGTTTCCTTCATGCAACCCTTGACAAGCTGTGTTTCCCTAGGAAACGAAGAGTTTACAGCTGCCTAGATTTCACAGCACATAGTAACAATTTGGGATGATCTCAGATCCCAAAGGTTAATGAACGACGAAGTGTAAGAAGATAAATAAAGTGATTTCTTCCAAGCCTAAAGTCTTTCCCGCTCCAGGGCCCCTTGTACCTTCTTGGAAAATGGAAAATCCCGAGGGAATTTACATCATTCCTCTGTCCCGTTCCCCCTACTCTCCCCAACCCTCAACGGGTTCCGAGTGAAAACCTGGCCTCGGGCAAGCCCCGTTACCTCTGTGAACCAGAGGATTCTAGCTGTAAAATGAGCTCTTAACGGTTTCCCGCGGGGCTGCCCTGAGAAGGAATCAGCGTGTACGCAGGTAAAGCAAGCAACACAGTTCCAGGGAGTCAAAAATGGGAGAAATCGTCCAATGGCCTGGGGCTTGGGTCTAGATGAGTAACAAGAGGCCTGGCTTCTAACGCGGCGCTGCTACAGCGCGGTGAACTCGGCAACCCCCATCAGCCCCCGCTCCACAAACACCCTGCCTGCCGCCCCACAGACCCCAACCTGACGCCCGGCTGACGCACCAGACCCCCCTCCCCGCCTGCCGTCCCACAAATCCCCTGGCCGACCACCCCACATCCCCCACCTGACTCCCCACACACCCGCAGCCTGCCACCCACACACTCACCACCTGACGTCAAGCCTGAGGTACAGCCACTAAACCGGAAGCTGGCGCCAAAGTCGCCGGTTCCGCCAGCTGCTCGCCGCGCAGGCGCATGGGAGACTCGAGGCCGTGACGTCACGGGGCTCACGCACGCAGGCGCAGCCAGGCTCGCAGCGGGAGGTGGGAGGGCCGGCAGCTCCGCGAGGCTGCGGAGGCGGGACTTGGAGGATCCTGGTTAGGGTCTCGAGTACAGACAGCTCCTATTGGCCTCAGCAGCAGATTCTCTTTGCAAGCAGTTGGTCCACAAGCCAGTGGATTTTGTCGTTGAGAGAGACTTAAGATCACTTTGTGCACTGGCTAGTGATAGCCTCTAATTCTTGTTCTCTGTACGTAAAACAATGGTAACTATACTGATTTCGCTGGTTGTGAAAGCTCCCAAGAAACAAGAGGGCATCCCCTACTCAAAATGTTGGTTGTTTCATTTAAACTTTTAAAATATAGGTTTTTGGAAACTATACAGAGCTGTTTGTTTTTTTTTCATGATGTTTGCTACTGTGGTATGAGTTCTCTTAATACAGAAATAATACATAACAACACATAATTTACAATACAGACATAAACATTTGTATGACCAGAAATCAACTATGGACTCTTCTCGTATCTGTTTAAGGATTAAAAATAGAGTTATTTAACAAACTTTAATTGAGCACCTATTATTATGTAGTAATGGTACTAGATATTGAGGGGGGAGAGATTAAAAACAACCCTAGTTTTTATGTTCCAGGAGCTGTTGGTTTCCATCGAAATTTTTGCTATAGTCCGTCCTCTTTCACCATGGAGAAGTCAGAAGTTATCCATGAAGAGTGGCAGAAACAACTTTTAGAACTATTTTAACATAAAATATTGTTTTACATTAAAACAAATTTTGCAGCAATCGGCCTTGATAAAACATTTTAGAGCTGTTAAGTGCCCTTAGAGGTTGTGTAATGTATGAAAATCTCGTTTCTCAAAACTGACACATTTAATTCAGTGCTAGTTTGTATGGAGCTAGAACTTAAGAGTTCCTTCCAGCCCAAGAACATTCAGTTATTTACTTTGTATGTCTAATTGACCTAAGTTGCCTGATTACCTGCAATCATCTGTGACGTTGTAAAGTCTCAAGATATTGTTTTAGGAATATCTACTCTTCACTTAAGTTATCAATTTATTTTGGAGGAACAATGAACAGTGCTAAGGTAGGAAACTTCACTTGCCCATCTTATGAGAGGGTACCTATCCGTGTACATTTGTAGCTTGTTCAACATCTACTAAGCTTCTACAATGTCAGAAGCTGGACTTTATATTAATTACATGAGAGGAACCATGAATTATGAAACCAGACAAATTCCAGATTGATTCAAAACCCACTCACTCTCCATTTTATCATGTTATTTTAGTTGTTTGGTTCAAAGACAATCAAGGGTTGTTTTCACTCAGTATCTTCTCCAGTTGCTATGATTATTAATTTATTTATGTAAATGGTCTATTTTAGTGCTTGGTACTTATTCGGTGATCAACATTAGGAAGCTATGAATCAAGAACCCAGCTTTGACCTGGAGCTCTCGATCTCGTAGCAGGATACGTATGTTCCAAAACACCACCACCGGCCGGGCACAGTGGCTCACGCCTGTAATCCCAGCACTTTAAGAGGCCGAGGCGGGCAGATTACTTGAGGTCAGGAGTTCGACACCAGCATGGTCAAGAGTGAAGCCCCGTCTCTACTAAAAATACAAAAATTAGTGGGGCGTGGTGGTGGGGACCTGTAATCCCAGCTACTTGGGAGGCTGAGGAGGGAGGCTCGCTTGCACTGGGGAGGCAGAGGTGATAGTGAGCCGAGGGCGCGCCATTGCACGCCAGCCTGGGCGGCAGGAGCGAAGCTCCGTCTCAAAAGGCAAAAACAACGACAAGCAACCCACCACCACCACCAATTTATGAAATATACTCTGTCTACATAAAATAGGGGACATAGATAAGGAAAGCCCCAGAGAGGGGAGGCACACATCTGTACATGTCTGTACAGGTCGGTGCACGGTGGTGGCGGGGGTGGGGGGAGAGTGAAGCTAACGAAGCCCAGGTTTGAAGGGCCCGTTTTTGTGACGAACACTTCCAAGGCCTCGAGAGGGGCCCCAACAGGCTGTTCCCGTGGTGGTGTGCCTCTGTAAAATGTGCAAAAATAATTTTACATTATTTTTCTTTAAAAGGGCTCTCCGAATAGAAGGTTCAGGCCTCCCAAAACCTGCATTCGCCGTTGACAGTCCACTCGGGTACAAGTAAAAGGAGAAAAATATTTATGGAAGCGCTTTAAATCCTGGAACTCACTGCGACACCCCAACAACCCTATCAGGCAGAACAAATTCCTCCGTGAAGCTGCGGCTTGCAGAGCGATGGTGGACTTCGAGCTCACCGGCTCCCGGCCGGTCCTGACCCTGACCCGGCTCCTCCTCAACCAGTAGGTCGCGGGTGCGTAGCTGGAGGGAGTCCTCGTGCTCGGAGGAGGGTGGGAGGCCAAGATCCCCAGGTCGCGGGGCGGGGAGCCGAGCCCACAGCGCCGAGGTATCTTTTCCGTCCGGGCCACCGTCGCGGAGGTTCCCGGACAGACACTTCTGCGCATGCTCGGAAGAACGGGCAGGGTTCCCACTCCGGGAGGGAAGACGGAGAACAGGTTATGTGGGAGCCGGCGGGGGCATTTGCCGGCGACACCCGAGCGGGGGCCGGAAGTGGGGCCGCTGAGCGACGCGCCGCAGGAGCTCCGGGCTAGACCGTGGCGACGGCAGCCGCCCCTGGGCTGGAGGAGGACGATGAGGAGCGACGGAAGCGACGCGGGGGCACGCTGCTGCGCGGCGCCCGGTTTCGTGCCCGCGGCCGACTGCGCAGTCTGTCCGCGAGTCTGAGTAAGTGCGGCCCCGGGACGCCGATCCCGCGGGGCCCGAGCGCCGATCCGCGCCTTCGGGGAGGGTAGCGGGGAGCCGCCGGCTCCTCGGGGCCGGCGCGAAACCCTCCCGGGAGGCGGGTGGGGAGAGCCCCGGGGCCCCTGCGGCTTCCTGGGTTGGGGGGGTTATTGGGGGACCGAGCGTCGGGGGCTGTGGGGGACCCGCCCGGGGCGCCGTGCCTGTCCCGGCTGCAGCCCGGCCGTCCGCCCCCACTCCGCTCACCCCTCACCAGGTGCAGCGAATTGAAGCCACAAACCTGTTTTGGAAACTGAGGTGCGCGCATTGCCAGAGGCTCGCCAGGTGTCGTTTTGTAATTGGAACCTGAAACGTACCTTCGTGTTCTGTGTCGATTGTATTTCCAGTAATGTGTACAAACCCACGATCCTTAAAATCCAACCCTCCTCTCCCCCACCCTCCCACACAGACTTGCAAAGTAAAATAGAAAAAAATTAGCCACTAGGTTGCAGGGAGGGAGAATCCCGACCTAATCACGCCATTAACAGGTTTAGACCTGTGAATACCCTGGCAGGAAGTTCTGGGGTATTCAAGAAACATCAAAAAAGCACCCATACAATCGAAGTCAATTTTGCTGTAGAATTTAGTCAACATTTAAGCAAAATGCATTACTAGTGTTTACTAGCCCAAGGTATCAAAACCACAAAAATGTCCATCACCATTTAACAAATGTTTACAGTGTAATAGTAACTGTATAGAAAGAGATGCATATATTGGCTTTGAGTGTTGATGTTTGATTTTCACTGATCTCTTTTGAGGGGATGGGGTGGTAGATCAGTACTTCTCTTCATGCTTAGGGCAATCACTCATCTTTGACTAAAATTTTGTTTTACTGTGTAAGATTTTGTGATTGCTCATTTAGTGTTAATGTCATGATATCCTAAGACCTCAGCTGCCCAATTAAATAATTGTTATTAGGTGCTCACTATGCATCAGGCACTGCTTCATACTGAAAATGTAGAGTTGAACCGGATGGAGTCTCTGTTATCACGGGACTCACAGCCTGTGTAAGCAGGTTAATTACACTGTAATCGTAAGTTCTGCCACCTAAGTTTGCACAAACTACAGAATATGGAATGGATGGCAGTAGGGAGTGGGGGTCCAAGGCAAGCTTTCTGTAGGATATACTGTCTGAGCTTGGTTTTAACAGACAAATAGGGCATTGCTCTGATTATTTCCTGTGTTCAGATGTGGTAGCCTCTAGGGAATCATATCCATTATTTAATCCAGGACTAGTAGGACTTCTAGTTGTACTTAATTTCACATATTCTGCTATAGTAGATAATAAAATAATGTAAATTTTGTCTCATAGAAGTAGCTGCACATATTAACACACTGGCATTTTATCACAACAGTATTTCAATTTAATCTTTTATCTTCCTCCTACATATGCGGAAATATATATTCAGAGAGGCTAAGTGAGTTGGCAAAAGCTACCTATCTATTAACAGACCATGCCTGAGAACAGTCTCCTTTCCATTGCACCACACTGCCTCCCATTGATAGTTAGCTTGGAATGATGAAAGCAAGCCAGGTACCTACAGGTAGGTCTTGGCACACTGCCGTCCTCTCGGGCACATCGATGGCCTCTTGGCATGTGAATAAGAGGGTTTACTAACCATGTTGCCCTGCGCTAACTATATAACTTAGTGATAGGTACAGGAAACTGTTGGATCTAACATTTTCCCATGATTTATTTCTGTTTCTCTGTTTCCTTTAATATATTACTCAGACTCTGAAATCTATTTAGTTGCCCCAGAAAAATCTTGAGACCTTTAAATAGCCTCTTTTTGTGTAGACTTAAAAAACGCTCTAGTTCTCCTAATTAAGATCTTTTCCCTCAAATGACAGATTTCATAATACATTATTACATTTTATGTTACTGTTTCACATGGTGTTAACTCCTGCTACAGTACTTTCTGCTGAAATCTCTTCTAAAGATGTAGTATTTCCAATACGTGGACTACATGCATTTATGAGCTAGCCGGAGAATCTAGCCACTTCTAGTAAGGATTCTAGTTGGACTTACTTTCACATACTCAATGTTGTATAACATCGGTTTTATACAAAACAAAAAAGCTAAGCTACATCCATCTAGTTTATAGGTAAAGTTTTGGGACATTACCCATTTATAAATTGGAAACTTTTTGTGAATTTCATTATCACTCTAACATCACTACAGTTTTAGGCTTGTGGATTTTTTTAAAAAACATTTCAGATATTTATAATCTCAGAAAAAATTGTGGTTGGCTTCCATAGTAACAATAATCTCTCATTTTACTTCTGCCAGAGTTGACTTAATTTGCCAAGAATTTCAAGCACAAAAAAGCTACTAAGTTGTTGCCTAGTATAATTTTTGAGCTATCTTCTCATGCAGATTCAAATCCTAGTTAAAAATGCTCCCTGAACTATTCAGTTATTATCCAGCATCTCCATAGGCAGTTACTGTTCATTTGTCCCATAGGACTATTAATACACACTTTTTCATTATTGATGGCATGTGGGTAACCATTAGGGAAATAGATAATTCATTCTGTGGTATCTCCAACACCTTGATAGCAGCTATTTGTGTTACCATTTCAGCCGTGCAACTGGCATGGTTTCCTAACTTCCCAGTTCTTAACAGAAAAGCAGAGAGATTGATGTAAGAATACTGAATCTGAGTTCCACATTAACACATGTGATTGGAAGCTGTGATTCACCCAGAGTAATTAATGAGCACCGTGGGGTCTGGGGTCCTTCTTCTCCTCCACTGGGTTGTGGATGCTGGCAATGACACATGAACTTGCTTTCCACTTCTTACAGTCTTCACTTGAACCTTCACATTGTTCTTTCACTCGTAGGCATCTTTTTTTAAGTGTAGGAACAGCTTTTATTTTTAAACAAGCTGTTACCAAAATTATCAATTTAGGATGGACTTAAAGATCTTTAAAGAAATAATAGTGCATTTATGACTTAGGACTTTTTAATTGTGTTTAGAATTGTTTAGCCTTTTGCCAAATTGTCTTTGGGAAATTCACCGTAATCCACCTATAGATAACGCACTTCTTTTGTATATCTAAAAGACCATTTGCTAGTGACAGAATCTCTAACTCAGATATGCAATATGCAATACAATGTACACTTTTTTTTATTTTTTGAGACACAGTTTCGCTGTGTCGCCCAGGCTGGAGTGCAGTTGGCATGATCTCAGCTCGCTGCAACCTCGACTCCTGAGTTCAAATGATTCTCATACCTCAGCCTTCCTAGAAGCTGGGATTACAGGCACGTTCCACCACGCCCAGCTAATTTTTTTTTATTTTTTATAGAGATGGTGTTTTACCATAATGCCCAAGCTAGTCTCAAACTTCTGAGCTCAGGCAATCTGCTCTCCTCGGCTTCCCAAAGTGCTAGGATTACAGACGTGAGCCACCATGCATGGCCCAGTGTACACTTTTGTAATTAAAAATAATTCGAATAACTAGAATTTAATTTGTAGGGCAGTTCTGACCTTCATTAAAATATATTTTTTATGATAAAGTACTATGTATTATATAATAGTTTTGTCTAGTTGATTCTCCTACTAACCTTATGGCAATAATTAAAATGTATTTACTCCTGTAATTTGAGTTTCAGTTCTTGATATATTTAAGTTTTTATTTATTTTTAATTTTTGGAGAAAATATTACTGGGTAAAAAACCTTAAATATATTTATATATGTTATAATGTAGAAAGGATTTAAATAAATGTAATATTCTTAATTCGAAGAAGGCAAGTCTTTGGGGAATAAGGCAATACAATTATATGGTTAAATAGTATGGAACAGTGGTTCTCAAACGTTTGGTGTCAGACCCTTTTACATTTTAGAAATGTAAAGAGCCAAAGATTTTTTTGTGTGTATGTGGATTATATAGATATTTATTGGGTTAAAAATTAAAACTGGAAGTTTTTAAAGTGTGTAAGTTAAAACTGGAAGTTTTAATTTTAAAATAGCAGTAATAGGTTAATTACATATCACATAAACAACATTTTATATAAAACAATTGTAATTACAACAAATAGATGTATGGCTTTATTTTATATTTTTGCAAGTATCTTTAATGTCTGCCTGATAGAAGGCAGGCAGATAATTGGGTTCTTTTCATGAAACATGAAGAAAGTCAGGCTCACACAAATGTGTAGTTGTAAAGGGAGGAGTACTGTAGTAGAGAATTGTGAACACTCTTTGGTCTACTCCATTGCTCAACAGGTGGCATTTCCTTAAAGATCAATTGCATCGTGCCATCTGAAACCTGCATCAGAGAATCTTTTGTCTCTGTTAACATCAAAATCTGTTGGTTTATAGTGAAATTTTACTCATGTCTACTTGATTTTTGTGACACCATTCATTGGTCATTTGGAATATATTGGTTTATTGAGTTAATGCAGATTCTTTTAAATGGTAACACATTTAATATTAATAGATTCCCACAGTTCCATCAAAAGGTCTCTTAAGGTATCGAGGAGCTATTGGCAACCTCATTCATTTTCTAGAAAATAATCTGCCAGACCTCTAAGTCTGAACAACCATAGTTTGTCAGTTGTCTTTTAAAATAAAAATGCCTGAACAAAGCAGCTAGTTCAGCTCACAGTTCAAATGTATTTCAATACACAGCACAAAGTGCTTTATGTGTGCTTCCAATTTTGTCACACATTTGTCACACAATGTGTTAAAAAGATGTGTACTTGTTGAGATATAATTTTTATTACTACTTCTATGACATTTGTAAGTAAAACTGGATTATTCCCTCATTTACTGTGAGTTGATGGTAGTGACTCCAACACGTGAGGCCACTACCTTGATTCTTGTAAAGGCACCAGCAATTTTACCCAATTGCTTATGCACCATTTGTGCAAATGTCAAACAGTGGAAAAGGTAAATGACATTTTAGTATTATTATGACCATAATATTGATCTGATGGACCC